AAAAAAATGTACATATGTATATACTCATGTGCCCATACTCCGAAAACTCTTGAATATACAAGCCGACGGAAGAGACGCCCTGTCAACAAAAAAAGCAACACATTATTTTCAGACCATGGAACAACTTCAACAACAACTCCAGGAAACTAAAGATCAGCTGCAGACTGCGCGAGGCCATTCCTCTTCCATCACCACAGGAAGTGTATGCGAGGATCATCAACCAATATTCGGAAGTCGACAGATGCGCCAAAAAAGTCGCCTCCATACCCAGACACATCCAAATTATAAACGTCGCTGGAATGCAGAGCACATCGCATTTCTATTTTTCTACTCAAGACCGAAAACCTACGCATACGATTGGCTGCCACCAAACTTCACTTGACCACTCCACTACTATTCGCCACTGGAGCGATCACAAAACCACTCTGGGACGTATGGATGGCTCGAACATTCTACAACGATGAGAGGAACCTCCTGTCAACCGACCCTGACAGAGTCAAAATGAAAGCAAAAGAGCTAATGGCGACTCTCGATAGCCACAGGGCCCATTTATCAGATCTCCGCGAATCACTTCAGTTGGAACAATTAGAAGAACAAATCTCATTCCACGACGAAGTAAGAAACACACTCCAGAATATACAAGAAACCGTAGACAAATTCGCAAACCAGCCCGGGAGGAGCGCCGCCGCGCAACAACGACACGATCAGGACCAGCCCGAGGAACCTTATGAGGAAGAGGACGAGGATGAAGAGCTTGAAACTGACGAACCAGAATCAGACGGAGAAGACGTGAGGAACGAAGAAGCTCCGCGCGCTATTGAAATGGGAAATGAGCAAAAAGAAGTGGTGCCAGCTCAACGTCCAAGGCACGTCATAGAAGCGGAGTTACACGAGGAACGTAGAGCGTCAAACCAGGTAGCCATGATCATAGAGGACTTGATGAGCCCCCGAACATGTCCCCCGCGACGCCGCGGCGGCGGACTTCCAAGATCAGTAGCTCTGCGAAACCCGCCGATCAAATGCGCCTTCTGTCATGCGACCGGATCCCACCGAGCGGACGCATGTACCCATGTGAGAACGGTTCGGGAAAGACGCATACTCGTACAGCGTCAGAAGAAATGCGGTCGCTGTCTGGAACAATGTCCTGGGAATTCCATGGGTCGCATGCTCTATGCCAAGTGCTTTTATTGCAAAAAAAGAAGGTCACAATTCCGCGCTCTGCGAACTGCCAGATCAGGTGTTGGAAATCTGCACCAAACTGGAAGAGGCGCAAAAGCAGGCGGACCGCCACTCCCAACGCATCAAAGAGCTAGCCGACGAACTACGGCGCCAGCACTAATTCCCTATCATCGGCGCCGCCGGGAACATCGCGGTAATACGCGATTTTCGATAATTTTCTCGTAAATCAATCAATCTTGACCATGACTCATAACACATGAAAAGTGACTCGATTTCAGTTGCCAGGGTGAAAACATGGTAAAATGGCGTCTGGCTAAGGACCACACAAGTGCAACTACGAGTCAAACAAAGGAGCTGCCATGGTCCAGTCAATTCGTCACTCATCAGTCATGTATCCCACGACCTTAGCTTCTTCATACTGCAGCACGGTTCCCATTACAATCTCGGTGCATCGAGCCGCGCTTCTATAAACATTTCCTTATCTTAACTTTCACATCCTTTCATCCTAACTTTCTCATCTCGATCTAACCTTTCTTATTCTTCTCACGAAAGGCCACATTCCCGTCGTGCGGAACAGTATATAAACCTCGCCTATATAAGCTGGGCAGAGCAAAGACCGAGGCCAGTTGCCTTCGAGGTTTTGACGCTTTCATTACGCCTTTCGTATTGTTCTCGATTACGCTGCATATAGCTCTTTACTACGCTTAAGGAATATTCATTTATTCTCTTATGCTCAAACGCTGATTGAATATAACTAC